TGTGCGGCTGCCCAGCACATCTGCCCAGGCAACACACCTGCACCTGTGTGCATTCATGGGCCCTCAGAGTGCAGGTCTTCTGTGGGTAAGAGGCCAGCACAGCCCTGCGGACTCTCCTCATGTCACCAGTACCATCAAAGCTAAAGACCAGGCTCTGCTGCAGGAGCTGTCTGGACAGAAGGAACACCCATAAAGGTGGGTTTGCCCTTGGCTCCCTACTTCATGCCTCGTGCCAGCATGTCCAACATGCTGGAACCCTGCTTCCTCCTCCTTTTACTGTAAGGACTACCTGAAATGTTAATATAGGAGCTGCCTGGAGCCTGTGGAAGCCCCATTTGCAGGCATAGTAGAATTCTAAGGGGAATTCTGGGAAGGAACTGATGTCTAGGACAGAGGGAGCTGGTCAGACGAGCTGGATATGGAACCCAAACCCTAGTATATGAGAGAAAAAGAGTATTGGAGGGATGTGACCTCCCAATCCCACCTGTACGGGCTCAGCTTACATGGGAATTAAGTCAGACTTAGAAAAGTGAAGGCTGCAAGAGAGAATAAACCCAGGAATTCCTTTCTCCTAAGTTTGGCAGAATTCTGGAAGAGGCACAAGCTGCAATGTTTAGTGGCTGTGTTAAAAGAGCATTAACCCAAGGGGAAAGTGGGTGTCCTTCTCTGCTTCCCTTCATCAATAGTGCCCTATTGATGCCTAGCTTCCCAGAGGACCCTACACAAGCAGGGCAAGAGAAACAGAGCCCAGGGGAGGGCGACAGTGACTGCCCAGGAGAGCATAGGCTCTGTCTAGTTCATCTGGTTTATGCTGTAGCTTTGATTCTTCCTGTTAGTGTGACTGTGACCTTGACCTTGAGGAAAGTTTTAGGATAGAGGCCAGTAGGGCAGCAGAGAGAATGTGGGTTTGGTGTCACAACTGGGGTTCAAATCCTGGCTCCAGTAGTTTCTAGCTACGGGTTGTAAGCAAAATGTAAGGTCTTCACATATCTCCACCTCTGCTTCATTTGTAAAAGTTGGGATGTGAATGTCTATTATCCGGTGGCTGTTGTCTGAGCCACTGAGTACAAGCTCCAAGACCAGCTTTGTGCTCAGGGTCCCCCAGCCTTCCTCTCTGGCTGCCCTTGCAGTCTCTTCACTCTACTTCCATCTCACTGTCTCTCCATCCTGAGCCTTTCTCTCCCTTTGCCCCTGGCCTGGAGGGTAGGTCACGTGGGGGGCAGGGGGCAGCCATCAATCCTGCTAACTCGTCACTTTGCTGGGCTTCAGCTTCACGTATCTGGCTGTGTAACACCACCCTGTTATGACAGACATGCACACACTTTTGGAAACATTACAAACGAAGCAGTAAAAGTGGAGGTCATTAGGCAGAGGGCTAACTGGCTGCATGACAGTGTCCAGAGGATGGCGCTGTTGCCTTTCGTTCTTTGGCTGGGGTGAGTCAGCGCTGGGGAACCTGGTGGAAGAATACTGCAGTGAAATGGAAGCCAGAACACATGACTTAGGCCACTCCTTCACGTTCTGTCCCAGCACATCTGTCCACATCAGCTTGTTCCGAGCCACAGGCGTGTCAGCCCTCGAAGCGTGACAGAGGCCAGAGGCTCTTGGGGCCTTGTCTCCAGGGGACTTGGTGCCAAGACAAGAGGTCATCAGGTCCCCACACCAGGCCTATGACAACTGTGACAGAGAAGCACTGTAGTGCTCCTCAGAGTCAGGAAGATAAGAACCAAAGTGTCAGGAGAAGGGCCAGAGGGAGTGACACTAGAGCTGGGCCCCCAAAAGTGGACCTGGGCTGTGGCGCTGGGAGTGAGGCGGCCATGGAAGCCACCTGAGGGCTGAGAATAGAGAGCATCCTTGAGGGTGTTTGGCTGGAGCTGGGCAGCTGAGCAGGGGCATAGTGAGGGCAGATGCTGGAAGAATTGTGCAGGCCCCAGGATGCCGGCTGGAGATGACTTAGGGCCAGATGTGTCTCTCAGCAAGAGCCAGGGCCCCTCTCTCCTAACATGTGTGGAGGTCAAGAGTGGCAGCTGGCTAACTGTCCTTGTCCACTTGAAAATATCTGCACTTACACAGGCTCATCCCACACATAGGCCCTTATACAGACACGTCCACTCACTCGCAATGTGCAGGGACACTGCCCACATGTGTCCACCACCCTGTATCAGCTCATCTCCATGCCCTCCCTGCCACCCACCTAGGGAAAGAAGAGCCTGTAGGGAGGGGTGGGCAGGGCATGGGGTTGGGGGGACATCAGGCCCCACATGCACAAAATGTCACTTGTCAAAGATTAGACATTTGACTTTATTTCCAAGTAAAATTTTGATGCAGGCAAAGAAGTACATCACTCAGGATATCCATCACCTGTCTTTATGATTGAGTGACATTGTCGTACCAGGAACTATTATTTTTCTATAACTCCAGTAATCAGTAATTCAACAATTTCAACAATGATGCTTTATTACTTTTTTTTCTTTTTTTGGTTAAAGCTGTTCATTCGTTCCATGTAAACATTTAGCACAAACCTTTTTTTTAAGTATAGTGGGAGCTTCCACCAGTGGGAATAGCTAGGTCTTTTTGGGCCTCTCATAGACTCTGCTCTGGCCAGTGGTCAGAAGGGCCATGGAGTGCAATTGTCACCAATTCCAGACTCTCCTTCACTCCACCCCATTCCATGTGTGTCTAGAGAGTCAGAGGAAGGAATGAAATGCAAAGGAAATAGAAACTGTCCACTCTTGGGGTCAGTGAGGGCTGAGTCTGGTCCCGGGACCCAAGTCCAGGACAGGGGCTGGATGCACACTGCTCAAGAAAGCCAGCAGTGCAGACAGAGCTGGCTGTGACCAGTAAGGACCTGAGTCCTCCTGAGACCCCTGTCTCCCATGGGGTCCCTGTGGATGGATGTCCACAGTGTGCTATGCTGGTGAGCTGGTTATGCTGAGCAAGGAACTTCAGAGATGTAGGCCACAGGCCACC